CTCGTCCTCAACGAGCTGCCCGCCCCGGGCCTGAACCTCGCCGCCCGCTCCGGCTCCTGCCACCAGGTGAGGGGCTGTGCCGGGCGGGGGACACCCCCCGGCCTCCGCTTCTGACAGCCCGGCCCCCGGCTGGGCTGCTCGGCTTCTCCTGCGTCTCCCCGTGGCTTCGTCAGGTCGCTTCGCTTCGGTTTTACCTTCGAGCAGCACGCAGGGAATTCCCGCAGCAGGAGATGCTCCAGCCCCGTAGCATCTTTCCTCGTCTTTGCCACCATGCAAGGCAGAACCCCCTTTCACTCTCCTTTGGTATTAATGAGCTCCCCTCACCCTCTTCTTCCACAGTGCTTGTATCAGCTCCTGGCGTATATCCCACCAAGCAACGAGAGCCTCAGAATACCAGGCACGGCGTCGGTAATGGTTGATACCCAGCATCCACTCACCCTGCTGCTCAACAGCTCTGTGGGTGACAGAAATCTCTGCAAGTAGGTGCCCCAGCCCCAGAGAATACATGGAGAGCTCTGTCCTGTATTTGTGTTGGTTCGGTTTGTTGTTGCATTTTGTGGGTTTTTTTCCCCTTGGAGCCATGTGCCTCTTCATTGCCTGCTCATCACCTCCTTTTTCCCAGCTATTTAGACCTAGAGCTCAGTCCTCACCCCACTGCTGTAACAGTAGTGTACTTTGGAATTGTGCTGAAAGGATCCAGGTGCAAGCAGAGACAAGATGGTGTTCACTGAGGCAGCATGTGCAAGCACCTGGTTTCTCTTGCAGGGAGTCTAGTTCAAGAAGACAAATTACAGCAGTGCATGTGTGATAAAGAATTGGTATTGGGCTAGGGGAGAATAATGCTTGGAAGAGGCAAGTTCCATGCTGGATCACAACGTTGGTCCAAGTTTTTGGCTTGCCTTTCATAAAGCATTCAGGCTTACAGCCCCCCTAAGTGCTGCAGTGGTACCTGCATATACTGGGGGTGGCTCATCAAATTTCGTTTCCTTTATCATTTGCAGGATTCAGTATCATTTTGGAGAGTTTGGCAATTATTCCCTTGTGGTAAAGACCCTAAGTACAAGCACCCAAAGTGTTTCTTGTGACCTAATCATCAATGAAGGCCCTATCAACAGCTACCTCCGTATGTAGAACTCTATTTTTCCCTTTCATTCTACAACTTGCATGTCTTCCAGCAGAACCAGCTTCCTAAGAAGCCTGTGCAACCACTCGTGCTGTGCTAAAAGAGTTGTCATGGTCTTGCTCCTTTCTGAACATCCTTGCCTCCTTATGTTTTATACATCCATCTTGAGGCCCTGAGCAGGATCAGGCCTATTCACATGATGTACCATCTGCCCACAACATTTTTGCAGCAGGCATTAGTACAGAAAAATCAGTGGGTATGTGTCTGGAGGGAGATATTAGTTCCTGTTTTTCTTCATGTTTATATATGTACACAGAATCCTCTCTCTTCTTCCTTCTATCTTCTCTCACAAAATGGGAAACAATTCACAGAGTGTTTGGATTTTTGTTTGTTGTTGCACTTTTAAAACCTGATCTTTTTGTTCATCTCTTATTCAGGACTGTTTCAAGCTCTTGTCTGTCTATTCCATTCTTTTCCTTTATATTACATTATTCTTCAATCATTCCAATTTCCTAACTGTAAAGAAAAATTCACCATGCTTGCTAATGTAATGCTAGGTGTATTGCCCTTTCCCCTATCTTCTTCACGTTGAGGCTGTTTTTAAGTCTCTACTTCTTCAGAACATATTGCAGCACATCAACTCTTTGCTCACTAGTGTCTTGTGATGCAACACAGTTTTATTTTGCTCATTTTATGCCAAGATGTGGAGTCACTGAGCTGCACTTTGAAACAAGCCAGCTCATGTGTCGGGTAGCTTGGGGGTTTCACTGTGGGTTTTTATTTTCCTCTGGGATTCATATTGCATGGATAAGATGGCATGATGATCAGTGAGTTGGGCTTTGTGTCATGTTGGTGTCACAGCTGGACAAGCCCAGGTCACTGAATGGTTTTGTTAGATCGTTTATAGGGTTGTGTTCTCCTCTTTCCGTGTAGCTATTCTCTTTGCTTTCCTGGTTTACATGGGGATCCTTGCTATCCTGATTGCTGGGCGTCTTCTAATGAAGTAAGTGAGCTTCCTCCTTGCACATGCCAGTTTAAGACCATACAGCATAGTGTGGTAATGCTTTGGAGTCCCACTTGTAGCTCTGCTTGCAGATCCGATCCTGTTATCAGGTGCCATGTGCACATTGTGGCACATGTGGCAAGAAATGCAGAGTGATGCAGTTTCACTCAAGGGATATCTTGCACCCTTGGTGGTTTGTGTGCAAAGCAGCTGATGTTCACTGTAAGCTCACACACACCCTGCTGCACCCTCGTGTCCCTTGTTCTTTGTCTAGCTCTGGATCAGTAATCCGAGGCAGTGGGACCAAAGTGCATGTAACAAATGCAACTTTCTACCCTTTACTAAATGGTGTAAGTCATCCTTGCCTGTAAGCAACCCGAGAATAAAACCCCCAAATGTGAGCTTGTGTCAGTGTATTTCCACAGCTGGACTTAACTGAGATCCTAGGTGCTGGCTGAATCTCAGTATTACCTGTGTGAGCTGTAAAAACAGAATTAGGAACTGTCCAAACTTGTTTTATGCTGCTAAATAGCTTCTATTAAGGTGACATTAACTATAAATTTGGCTTTGGCTTTGTTTTGTGTTTTAAACTGTTACTCATTTTCAGAATTGATCCAGTCAGAAACTGGGTTTACAAGAAACTGAATCCCAGAGCAACTGATCGTATGATTAACTCCGTGAGTGACCACAGCATCTTTAGTTTGTGTTCTGTAGTGTTTTCATCTCTGAGAAACACACACTATCTGGACATCTGGGGACTTGTTTATTACTAATCATCTTCCCCTTGTGTGTGTTCCCTTTAGCAAATCTTGTCAGATAGGCAATTTTATGTCAATGGAGAGTACTAGACTGGGTTTCCATGCAAGTTTAGTGGATTCCCTGTAAAGCTCTTGCAAGTTTTGAACATACAGCTTTGTGCCCCCATTAGTTCTCTTGAAA